ATAGCCCTAAGCCCATTCCAATCCCACACTCCATCATCTGAGAGCCATCACTGGCAATCATATCCTCAAAACCTTCCATGGTCCAACACTGTTACGATGATCCAATGACACACACACCTAGGTCTTATGAGGATTGGCCACAAGTTGAGATCCTGTCAATTATCCAATTAGAAAGCGGACACGGACTAGAAAGAAAGAAAGTAGTATAGCTCTGAAATGTTCATCCCTTTTACGTAACTGTAGAAAAGGAGAAATTGGCCGGAGTCCAGAGCCATTCAAGCCACCACTTCATCCAGACTTCACCTGCTGAGTCTAACAAACCCCCGCACTATACTCTTTCCTGGCAGTCCAAGAGGGAAAATCTGGGCCTACTGATTTAACAGACACTGGCAAACAACTCGAGAACCACCAGCATGGATGTCGAGAATTCTCCGGAGAGAATGCAATCTGACGATGGGATGATGACGCTGGTCATGGGATGAGGACGCCAACTTTTCTTTACTGAATAACTGAACCCCTATTGATCTCCCCTTGCATAAATCCAATCATCTTTCATTTCCCCACTACTCAAACCCTCATACATCTCCGGCATCTCCGACTTCGCCAACCCTCTAATGATGCCTTGTTCTCTGTTTGCATGACCCAATGGTCGTCAAATATATCAACATTAGTAGGACACGACTGCTAACTACCATACCACAAATGCCAAAACTGCAATTAAACCACCAGTACTTGGCCCAGCTATAGGCCGTGGAAAAAAATACTTTAAAATAGAGTAGAAAGTACGAGAAACGTTTCTAGTCAGATGAATTTGGGCGCTCCTGTAGTGGCCCGTACGTTTCCTAAAATTGTGGCTTGTTGGGGGTTTAACTAAAAAAAGCGTCATTTCCCAATTTCCTCGAACTGAGTCCACCACAATGCACCCAGATATGTGGACGTAAATCCAAAATCTTGACAACGTAAGGTCCCAATCGATCTGGAAGGCCTTGGCCCTGGGTTCACACCCGGGCCATTCCTGGTAGTGAAATCATTCCTATGCCTGTTTTGAAATGGCGTCGATGCCGTGGACAGCCAATAGACCAGGAAAAGCTGCACTGTGTGGTTTCATTGGCCCAGGTCTACCAGTACGTTGGAGGTATGCTGTATGTCAGTCCTAGGGTCATGTTGGTTCAGGTAAGTGGATGTCAAAGGACATGAAAGAACGCAAAATCAGAAAGATGAGAGAAGGTCATCGCGGTGGGAGGGTGGATGAGGATGTGGCCGAAGAGGAGGAGGAGGATTACAATGCAGAGCACAAGGAGGCGGAGGAGGGGGAGGGGGAGGAGGAGGGGGAGGGGGAGGAGGAAGAGGAGGAGGAGGAGGACAATGAAGAGCTGTCGAGGGAAATCAGCATGGAAGCAAAAAAAAAAAAGAGTGAAGATCAAGGGCTTTGGAAAAGTTGGAGAATGAGCAGTGGGGAGAGGATGGGACAGCCGTAACAAGAGGACAAGGAGCAGGAGGAGGAGGCAAATAGGAGATGCGAACAAGGTTCCTGAACAACACTGCAATGGGATTTCTGTGAGCTGAATGAAAGGATTGAGTAAAGGAGGTAGATCGGTAACGACAGAGGTGGGAGGTGGAAGGCAAGGCGTGAATGTGGATTGAAGAGCAGGCCAGGCATCCCTACAACAAGAATGAAAGAAAAAGAGATCGCCACCATGAAACCCCATGAAAACTCAAGCAACAAAATGAAATTCTAGACCATCCCGACGCATTCCAAGCCGAAAGGTAAGAAAAACGATTTGTAAAAGAGAGGGCATACTCACACTCGCACTAACAAAAATGAATGTGCTGTGAGAAGCAAACCTATTCTACGAATGGCCTGAATAATGACAGGTGTCAAAAGACAACCCATCCAGCACTGGTTTAAACCACTAGTCCATGGCCCCAGCCTTGTGAAGAAAATGCTAGTCACCTACTCCGAAAAAGTTGGGGCCAGCACGCCGTCAATAAAATTCCTCGATGGCCGGTGTCGCATTTTGGGCCTCCAAAACTCACTGTGAGGGGGCCGCGGCCGATGCATGACCATGTGCTGGTGGCTAAAGACCTTATCGGACAAGCCTGATCGTCTGGGCACTTTGGACGCCAGGCGCAAACCTCTGAGTTAACCATGATCCCCCCTTAGGAATCTGTACCCTAGGTTGTTTTTTTTGCCCGACCGCGCACACTTGGCCGGGCACCCAGGCAAGTAAGAAAGTAGTTCGAATTTGTTTTTGTTTTTTGTTTTTTTTTTGGCCGGCGGGGGTCTTCTGCGCATGCAGAGAGGACACTAAAGCCGGCCTCAAATTTTATTTCTGAGGGTGAGGCTTTCGGGGGGGGAGAGTTTGGGGTCTTCTGCACACGCACACACACACCCCGGGGTCTTCCACGTGCACGCACACACACACACACACACACACACACACACCGGGGTCTTCCGCGTGCACGCACACACACACACACACACACACACACACACACACACACACACACACACAAGGGGAGGCGATCGTGGTGGTGGTGAAGAAGAAGAAGGAGACAAAGACGAAGCAGACGCAGAAGAAGAAAAAAAAGAAGCAGAAGAAGATGGGGAGCTGATGGTGATCAAGTAGGGGGATGATGAATACGTGGCGGGACGCTCTCTCTCTCTCTCTCTCTCTCTCTCTCTCTCTCTCTCTCTCTCTCTCTC